ATGCTTGCCTGCTGGAACTTAGCTTCTACCTTGGGCCGTGTTGTCGCGGGATGGGTTGCCGATACTCTTTTGGGACCAGTCGAAAGTCTAGCAATCTGCATGCTCTTCATGGCTCTGAGCTCCCTCATCGTCTGGCCTCTTTCATCATCAATCGGCATCTTTTCCGTCTACCTCGTATTGAACGGTATCGGATGTGGTGCGTTCTTCAGTCTCACGCCTATCGCAGTGAGCGCCACATTTGGAGGAGAAAACACCCTCAGCATCATCCCCGTCGTCTGGACGACTTGGTTCTGCGGTTTCTTTTTTGTAAGTCATAATATGCCGTGCACTACTTAAACTTTTGCTTATCAAGTTAGGGTACTCCCATTGCTTCAGGACTTTACTCCATCTCTAGTGATGTTGATGGTCTTGAGAAGTTTCGCCCTGCCGCATATTATGCCGGAGCAATGGCGTTAGCGGGATTTGCATGTGTTTCGGGGATCAGATTTGCGCGGAGGACGGAGAAGACCGAGAGGTCTTGATGACAGGATTCATCAGATGACCTGGTGGGTAAATGAACAGCATATTTCTGTCGAAAGTGCACCGAATAACGGCCGATTACTAAGTTAGAAGTTGACACTAGCACGCATGATACCACAGATAGATCATAGAGAGTAAATAGAGCATAGAGACTGCTCAGATGGAGGGCTACGAGCACTCAGCATCAGCATTAACATGAATGATGATATTCACTGATACCTCCAGCCTGGATCATCGTCACTTCCCAAAAGTCGCACGCGAAGCACAATGCGAGTCTTTGGTGACCAGACTGGCATGCCTGATCAAACCAACCAAGAGACTGGACCAACGAATGCTCACGATGATTTCGTTGAAAGCCATGCAATGGGCGTCAAAATCAATCGTTCAAATCAGGCGTGACGATGGCCATTCAAAAGCGCATCAGAGTCTTTGGTAATTGGGGGAGCGTTTATTGGCGGGACTTCGCATATGCGATGATACTACTTAGCGATGCGGGGAAGTAGCTTCGTGTTACTGGTGGGTTTAATCACTGATATTGGATTACTTGGCACAATGTGACACTAAACACCCCTCAAATTGATAACCCTTCGCAAATCTCCAAACGACCATCCATGGATTGGGATGATCACCATATGGCTTTATCGAAGAACGTTATTTCCATGAACCACGACGTCGCATTTCCTCGTACCCCGCTATGTCTGTGACTTGTGCCTCTAATGTGGAAATGTTTTTACGTCCAAGACCGAGTTTCGGGCTAAAGTAAAAGACTCCGTAGATTCTGATCTGATATGCTGTAGGCGTTTTCAATGACAGATGAGCTGAATGATCTTCCGGAAGATACCTGGAGTTGATGCTCACGTGTTCAAGAAACCGCTTTCCGTGCCTTGGAACGGTAGACATCTAGCTTGTAAATATAAGCTGGATACATGCATCGATTTGAATCTAAATTCAGACCAGTGCATGTTTCAATCGATTCCTGGCACATCAAAGCTACTTCTTTACACAGCAGCATTTCTCCCTCTTTTCGTGGAGCTGAAACAAAACCATGAAACTCTCATCCATAGTGGTGCTTATCCAATGCTTTGTCGCTGCCCGGGGTGCTGTCACTGAGAGACAATCCAGTGGCTGTCTCGCTTCTGCTACTGGATTTGCTTCTCTGAACGGGGGCACAACTGGCGGCGCAGGCGGAACGGAGGTGACAGTAACTACTCAAGCTGATCTCGAGAAGTATGCCAGCGCATCAGGCAAATACGTGATTAAGATCAGCGGTCGTATCACCATCAGCCCTCTCGGCAAGGAAATCAAGATTGCCAGTGATAAGACCGTCATCGGATTGGGCACCACTGGCGAGCTTTATCAAGGTGAATTCTTAACATGTCCTTCCATTCAACACGTTATATACTAAGGCGGCTCCAAAAGGTGGTTTGGGCTTGAACGGGGTCAGGAACATCATCATTCGCAACCTCAAGATAGGTCACACCAACCTTAACGATGGCGTGGAAAACGACCGTGACGGTGTTCAAGCCGACACCGTGAGCAATATCTGGATCGACCACTGCCTTTTCGAAGATGGCGGTGACGGCTTAGTTGATCTTCGGAAGGACACCACCTACTTCACCGTCTCCAACAACATCTTCCGTAACCACGACAAGACTTTCGGCATTGGCTGGACCGAGAATGTCACGGCTCGTGGAACCATCAACCACAACTGGTTTGACAACACAAATCAAAGAAACCCGAGCGCCGACAACTTGGCACAAGTGCATCTCTACAACAACTATCTCTACGGCGTCACTTCATACGGGCACTACGCTCGCGGCAGCACCAACGCACGTATCGAGAATGTCTTCTTCGAGAACACCAAGAACCCCTTGACCAAAGACTCGGGTGCCGTACTCAATGCCTCTGGTAATACGTATAAAAGCTGCATTGGCACTACGGCTGCAAACTCAGGAACCTCCTTTGACCCCAAGAGTCTCTATTCGTACACCTTGACTGCTACTGCGGATGTTCCTGCCTATATCAAGGCCAATGCTGGTCCAAGAGCTTCTGTCTGCTCCTGAGTTGAGAGGATCACAGTCATAGTGATATATCAAGAATCCTAAGAACATGCCCAGTGTGCTATAAGTTGCAGTCTTATTATCTGAGTTCTCGAGATGAATCTCGTTGTCGTATCACACCTACATCCCCATGAACGGCCCAATGTCTCATTTCTCTCAGTCATCGAAGCAGATCAAGTGATCTTGTACTAGGATAAAAATGGTTTAAAAGCGTTCGCGAGCCAAAAGCTTGCTTCCCCTAGCCTTTGAGACCGATGCTCGCCTACGTCTATACCCTCCCCAATCTGTGCGCTCAAACCAGCCACTTTCCATCTCCCTTGAGCTTTATCTTCGACTTTTCCCAGTGACCTGCGTCAAACTTCCACGCCCAAACCTCCTGATTGGCATCGTAGCTAGCTTTGTGGCGTGACTGGAACTGACCGAGGCCGGCAGCACGCATAAGTGACCTCCATGGCTGGTTGTCATCACCCGTTTCAATCCTGAACACCTCACAGCTCAGTTCGGTTCGAGCATGTTCAATCAACGCCTCGAGGATCTCGAGACCATAGCCTTGACGCCAATGTCGGTGATCGATGTTGATGCCGAGGTCCGTCATGCGCCTATCTCCCGACGAAAGTGTGGTCTTGCCGGCGAGAAATCTAGTGGGGTCCACGGTCTCGAAGGTGTTGTAACCACCATTGCCGATCAACTCGTTGGTCTCACGGAGGATGATGACAACCCAGCCGTTCTTTCCATCTTTCGTGAAATCGACAAACTTGTCGATGCGGGTGCGAATTCTCTCTATAGTCAGGTTCTGTTCCGACTCTTGGAAAGGAAAGTTGTCGGGCGTCTGGAGAAAATTGAGTAAATTTTCCGCATCTGACTGAACAGCTGTGCGGATGACCATCCGCGGAGTTCCGATCTCGAGGACGGAACCATGTCGTGATGAGTCCTGTAGCGCCATGCTGGAATCGAATTCGTAGATTTCGATGCGACAGCTAGGAATGCAATTCGGTGCTGTGCCGAGATAATCGATCAGACTTAAACAGCCTACAGTATTGATTTTAGTTGGTCACCAATACAGCGACGATGGACCAGCGGCCGGTTGGGAGACTCAGCGCTGCTTTATATCTGTAAGATGGGGTCCAGCCGAGGGTCCAACAGATTCAGAACCTAGGAAAAGGACTTGAATCCCTGTGACATTGTTGGCTGACAAAACATAATGGAATCCCTGCGCTCGACAGCCCAAAAGACCTCGAGGACCTTCCTTTTGAGGAAATCGCAACTCCCGACTTTCCGCGACAGCCTTAGACTACATCCAGAAAGCGTTCAGGCCCCACAAGCATGATCGCCTCACACGGAGCGCGACTTGCGGCACAGCAAATGAGTTCGATGTATGCAATTCAGACCATGACGCTATTCACACCTGCCTTACCACTAATGGCAATGCATCACTGCCTGGCCGCACATGACGCGCGCTGAGACGGTCAATCTGTCAAGGTGAGGCTGAAAACATAGCTGGGATGCACGTATAATGCGCGGATCACATCATTCCTACCAGAAAGTGCTTGCTTCGGCCGCCGCCAAATCATGTTGTCGAAATAGCTAGAATGGGGACGCGGCATCGTCTAAAAGGGCGACATGTATCTTGAACACTAGTCGGCCACTCTACCCCTCAAATTTTGATCAAATTCTTCACAAGACACAATACGTGCGGAGGCCACTCCTCTCAGAGTCAAGTACTGCAGTCTTCTGCTGCTGGTACTCGGCGTCTTGGGTGCTTGTTTTGCAAGATGACAACGTTGGTCCAGATGGTGAAAAGCGGCATAACTCGTTTCCAGATCCCATCTCATCAGTAAGTACATGAGCATTGGGCAAAGAGTCGACCGAAGACACTATCGAGACCAGAGAGGATTTGGAAGCATGGGAAAGTCCGTTTTCTCTATATCATCTTCATAATTGCCTTAGCCATCCTTACCAGATATGCTTCTCTACCTTTGCATCAACAAACACTCTACTGGGAAGAACCCGTGAGATCGGAGCTTCACTGTGGGTATATGATTAATATGTCCTTTCCACACATTGAGAGCAACGAGCCCCTGCAAGATCACATCACTGAGGTAAAAGCAGTGAAGAACGAACCGAGAATATCCGACTTAGACAAAGACTACGCCATGCCACCTTCTGCTAGTGTCAATAATGCGTGGTCTTCTCTGCTTCCGAAAGAAGGCGGGTTCTTCGAACACCCTGCTATCATATCTAGTGCTAGTTGGTTTTGCTGTGTTCCATCATCTCCACTGCCTCGATGTGTTGCGCCTAGCACTGTACGAGCTTTACCCAGACACCAAAGGCTATCAGCTAATACTTCTCATTTCACGTCCCATCTGAATCACGATGGCGCACATTCCACCATGGATGCCGACTTATCCTATGACATATTCAATGTTGGCCACTGTTCTGACCTATTACGTCAAGCTATCTTGTGCCGCCCCGTGAGTATACCCTAAACCCTTTATTAGATACTTTTAAATCCTTTGAATATTATAGGAGTCCAGGACTGACCCTTCTCCACGTACAAGATTTGATGACCGAAAATTTAGAGCCCAATTCTGGCGGAGGTACCGGCTTTGGGACTGAGCACCGATGTGTTAAGTGGCAAGAACTGATGGATGGTGATGAACCAATTACACTGAGATTTTGAAACTCAAACAATTGAACGATGGTTCTGGGAAATATCCAGTGTTACACAATTCATATGGCAAGCTTCCTGGAGGACAAGATACGCACCCAGGCATTGAGAGAAAAGTCTGTTTGATGCTGCTTTCTTCCATTCCTGAGGTTAGCTGAAAAAAGACGTCTTGATATGGGCAAGACCGGAGTGCTGCGAGTTTAGCTCCTTCTAAGCACGAGCTTTGCTTTTCCCGAGCCTGCCTTACAGGTCGATTTTGCTTCCATCCTGTTTTTTGACTTGGAATACTTGACCTCTGTCTCAAAAACAACGGTTAGTAAATGTTTGGAATCAAGGAAGTGTTGTTTGTACTCAGTGACACGTGTATGCATGGTGGTAAATCTAGCGCGCCTGAAACAAAATTTCCCTGATCTTAGGCTAGTGCATCTTCCTGATTGTTAAAACGGCAATTTCTAATGTTCGAGAGTGACATCACAGAAAACCAGGCAAGTAGTGGAGTGATTTGCACTGCACTGACTGATTTATCTGAAAACACAAGATGAAATTGATGAGGCTTTCCTTTGCGTGTGCTACTGAATCTTTTCAATGAGTTGTACATATTGACAAGGGCCACTATGCTGAATATGCCAATCGTGAGTTATGTATGCTGCCCTTGCTCATTTACACCGTCACAAGCATCGAGAGGAGAGCATAATGACTCGAGGTAGGGAGCCTGAGAAGGCTCAAAGTGGAACGCAAGATGTAGCACATTGCCATCGGCTTAGTTCAGTTTGTCGTCCAGGGTCATTCCTACATAAAGGTTTCCAGTTGACTCTATGCCACAGAGACCTTTCTGAGAAACGTTCGATTTAGGTTTAATGAGCCCAGAGCGTACATTGTGGGCGGGAATACTACAGCGCGGCCGGGACTAGCTTCGGAGAAATTGCACGCGGCGGGGAACGATGAGAGGGATGGTTGCATGCCGGCGGAGAATTTTAGTCCACCTATTTCCGTGTCCCCGAGCCCCGCGAAAGATAGTATGAGACCATTAGTTTAAAGGAGCTTCGACCGCGTGGTCAGTTTGGGAACGATTGGCGGTCATGAGTGACTGACTTTCATGCAGCCAAGGATTTCATCTTGAGAACTTGTTTAATGATCACGCGCAGTGACGATACTTCCAGCTAGGTTAATAGTAAGGTTCATAAAACATGGAAGCTCCAAAACCTTTGCCACATCCATATGTTCCTGAACATGAAAACCGCAGAGAATCATAGATTATCGCTGACAGGCTTGCATCAACATGAAGATTTTGAACGTCCTCTCCACCTTGGCGGTTATAGTAGGCAATACCTTTGCGGCTTCGCGAACATCGCCGCCATCCGGCGCAATCGTTGTTGCGAAATCGGGTGGCCAATACACCACGGTGAGTAAATTCCGTGCAAAACCACGGCGCTACGGTTCCTAGGGTCTTACATGGGGATCTGATGTGATGTCACTTCGCTGATGTATACCAAAGCTTCAAGCAGCTATAAACTCCATTTCAGCCAGCTCCACCGCGACTACCACAATCTTCATCCAGCCGGGCACTTACTCTGGACAAGTTTCCATTCCCAGCCTGAGTGGAAAGCTAGTCATCTACGCATACACTACCAACGACCAAGACTACACCAAGAACCAAGTCATCTTGACCAATACTCTATCAGCTGCGGATGCTGGAAGTAACGACTTATCCGCAACACTGAGAGTTGCGACTAGCTACTTCAGTCTGTACAACGTCAACCTGATCAATGGCTATGGAAAGGGCTCTCAAGCTCTAGCCATCTCTGCAAATGGCCAGTACCAAGCGTACTACGGCTGCAGCTTCGTCGGCTATCAGGACACGATCTATACCAACAAGCCACACCAAGTCTACAAGAACAGCTATATTGAGGGTGCGACTGACTTCATCTTCGGCAACGATGGCAACGCTTGGTTCGAGAAGTGCACGATCGCTATCAACGGTGCCGGATACATCACTGCGAGTGGTCGCGACAGTGCCGACAGCTACTGGTACGTGATCAACAAGGCCACAATCGCAGCAAAGTCAGGTGCTGGTGTGGCCAAAGAGTCTACGGTGCTGGGCAGGCCGTGGAGGGAATACGCGCGCGTTGTCGTCCAAAACTCACAACTCAGCGATGTCGTCAAGCCTGTTGGATGGTCTGCTTGGGGCACTAACCCCACTGCCAACGTTTACTATGCGGAATATGGCAACACTGGAACTGGTGCCAGCGGCACGCGGGTGAGCTGGGCCAAGAAGCTGTCAAGCGCGGTTTCCATTGACACGATTCTTCCGGGCTGGGCTTCTTGGGTTGACACAACTTATTGGAACTCGTCTTGAAGTTTGCTTCCTATAGCAGACGTAGCTCGTCAGGGCAAGATCTTCTACGAGAAACAACCCAGAAAATCGAGACTTCTCCAATAATCCATTTCTTCTGAAATCTTTCGTTTCTGTCTGGTATATGATCACCCTTAGTCCCTTCATTGACCTATGTTCTGTATTGGTCGATGATTGCTCCGGAGCATTGACGCTGGCGATCTTGGACTTCCTAAAGCTGGCGACTCGACATCGTGATCCGGTCTGGTACCGATTTGTCCTAAATTGTCATTGATATCATTTATCAAGCCTGCATCGTCGATATCTCGCATTTGTGATGTTAGCTGATCGTTGTGTCGAGAAAGCTCGGAAAGATCAGTGCGATTGCAAGAACTTTTAGGGATTTGAGTTGCTGATCGGAAAGGCCAAATTTTCCAATCATAAGACAAGTACGGCCGCAGGGGCGGTAAACAAGCAATGATCAAACCGACTTGCGAGTCAATAGCACTCCATAACTCTGTCAGGTCGGTGTTAGCACCGTGGCCCGTGCAAAGAGGTAAGATGCTGTACTGGACATCAGATTAGAAAGAGTTTCGACTCACCAATGAGTGTGAAGGAGCGAAAAGATGTTACAGACACCTGAATACCTAGAAACCGTGCCAGGCTGACTGCTAAGTTGATGGCTCCCAGAAAGAATGTGCAGTAAACACTGATCTTGACACTTTTATGAAGTTGCAGTCGGTACAAAACTAAGAATGGCAGACAGAAAACTTTGAGATGTGTGAGAAGTCCGGATGCTCTTATACCTTATGTCATAGACACAGTGATGGGAAACTTACTCATCAGATCTGCGGCAAAGTTCAATGCCCAAGCGATTTCAAATACTTGAGCGAACACTATTGGGGAACATGCGACTGCCGGATCTTGGGACCTTGAAGAGAATTTAGTTGGAGGCAAGGTTTCCATGATCAAACGGATTAGCCTTACCAATTTCCTCGCAGAGGCCTACAAATGAGAAGTAGGATGAGCATGTTGGTACCATACGCACAGCCACAATACACCATGGTTCCCCAGAGAATCTTCCGCCTAGTTTCCATGAAGATCGGGAAAAATCGAGCATATAGACTCAGGAGTGTTGCCTTGCAGAGATAGAAGGCTGTGAAGAATGGAAATTGGCCACTCCATTGCAACTGCATAGAGTGGTTATTAAACTAACTTACAATAACAAGACGCCCTTGCATCTCTCCAGAATTGAGACTCTTACTTCTCAGAAGTCAAGGATGCTTACCTTCCACACAAGTTCTAGGTCCTCGGGTGTCCCATCATACCCCTCTAGGGTATAGGCAACGTGGGAACGTAATACCCCCAACTTATGGAACACAACATCGTATGAAGCGGATGCTACAGTAAAGAGCCAGGCAACACAAACAAGAATGTCGCTCGTGATAAGGGGAAGGTTCTGAATGACTAATCGCAGGTATATTCGGGCGCCGATCAGAATAGCTGCGATACCTGTCAATGTGAATTCGGTTCCCTAACTATGTTAGCCTGACTAAAAGTTTGATCTGAAAGACTACGTAGAAGCTAGTATTCTGCGGGGAAAGATAACACAAAATGAGTTGTGAAGTTTCTGGAGGCATCGTGACGTACAATAACCGCACCTGCGGATGGCCCATTCACGTCCATGATGAAGGAATTCGCGATACTTCCAATTCGAAAAACCAGGCGTATCAAGGCCGATCAAAGGAGAAGAATTTAGGCCAAATCCCCCGAAATTCCCCACTGACGGAATCTGCGCTTTATTATGTTTAGATGGAAATTGTACTTCAGCTCTCCAGATGGCTTTTGCCTAGCTAAACGCCTGCAAACAGTTAGAGCGCCGCCACAAGGGGTCGGGGCACGTCCACATCGACAGCCACATCTAAGCGCGATCGAGCAGTGACCTACCAACAATCTGAAAACGGAAAGCTTGGTTCCTTTGTCCGCTTCGGTTTCGCTTCTTAACGTGATTATCTGTCCAACTTTTCGATGAAGCGCCAGGCTCGGCAAGACTACTTGACCTAAGATACGGGTTAGAAACAAGCCAACGATGTCTAGCGGACCCGAGTATTTGGACTTCATCGAGGTTATGACCACCGTTTGAGCTCTCATCGTGATCCTGTAGGCCAGTGGTAATACTTTGAATCGCACTTCGGGTGCTTCCACAGCACTAGGTATCACTCGACCCAAAGACCCTCTGAAACTTCAGAAGAGCCTCTTTACTCTTCGTTGGAAGGCATAATCACTGCAGATTCCCACCTCCCAATAGTGAACTCGTGAGTGGTCTTGGTCAGATCAATACTCACTATACGCAAACAATAGCCTGACAAGTCACGATTGATCTGATATGAGTAGACCTTCCGGCATATTCGATCTCGAAAATTCTATGTGATGAAGCTTCTTAGGGGTGGATGAACTGAGCTCGATCCTAATGATAGACACAGGCCCCATATGAATGCTATGTGTGCAATTGATTGACTTATTTTCAGGACACTCGTCGTGAATTCAATATTGCAACGTGGATGTATCTATAGTGGTCCTTATTTCTTTGAGTCCAATGCCATAGTGGAATAGGCCAGATTACACTCAAAGTCATGACTATTGACATTCTATAATGAGTGCTACTGCAATACAGGATACTTGGACGTAATACCGTAACCTCACCACACATCGTCTTGCATTTTTTGCGGCGGCGACATAATGCGACAGTTGACCAGACCCGGTCTTTCTCCCTCAGTCTTCGCGTCTCTTCGTCTGTTGACGTACTTTCCACATCAGTGCCTGGTACGGTTGCCGCCGAGCTTTGATAGTCCTCTTCCTCCACACTTTATTCCACTTGTCAATAATTCTCACTACGTCTGCCACCCTCTTCGCACTGAAGATCGAGAATCAAGTCGCCAAATGTCATCTCCACTATTGTGATTCATGTCACATAAGGCAATTCACATACTCGTGTTACTGAGTGCAACTCATTGAGATATCAGCCTGGCTGAGCTGTATGCTTGACCCATGGATAATGAACCAGACCATATATGCATCGTCTCTGAATTGCTCTCAACACTTTTTCTCCTAGTTTCTCACTTGAATACCTCTTTCTGCAGTGACCCAGGCCCACAGTCTTCGACCTTCACCACGCGATGATATAATCGTCACCATGTCTTTCAGTGTTGTGGTTTAGCCGTGCCTTGCCCCTTCATACCAGCGCTTCTCGAATCACACGCCGCGCGGCATCACACTTATTGACTGATTGGTCCCCGCAAATCAGGGTTCTATTGTGCTCTCAGAAAGTGCAGCCGGCTACTGCGAAAGGGTTTAGTAAGTTCCAATTAGTTCAGCTCAGTCGTCGGCGGCTGGCTGAATTCAGCTGAGCTGCAAGGTATGTGAGTGGGGACGGGAAGGGCCAGAACCGCGGGGCCGTGGGCGGGCCGAGAAGCTACCTATTTGAGCTACGCCTCATCCACATATGGTCGTGACCGCAGCTCTACCCCTGCAATGTTAGTGAAATGCCGTCAAATGATGGGCACGAAACCCTCTCTATCACGTTGGTCACTATTTCACTACAGGCAGCCACACGGGTTCCCTCAAGAACGCTTTTCAGACCCTTGACGAATGAGAGTTGGCTGTGGCAGCGGAAAAGCAATGTGGAAGAATTCGGAACTACGTCTGAGTGTGATCTATAGACTCAGTTTGGGGAAAAGCCGTGATATGCAACCGCCTCGAAAGTTCTGGACTTGCCTGTTCCAGCGAAAATATCCCAAATAAGGCGACGAGCAATGTGCCTTGCATACCCGCTTCTATCCAGCGCTTGGGATGACGCCTCGGATCACATATTCCGAACTGACATTGAGGTCAGCCAGCCTCTTGGGCTTTCCTGGCAGAGGGGGGAATTTTCAGCGCGGATGCCGATGGTATGGCATATGCGTACATGATGATTATACGTTGTATACATGCCCGTATCGTGCTGAGGTATTCAGACAGCAGTAAGTCAGGTCGTTCCTTCAAATTCCAAGTTTGTGTTCACAAGGTGCGCGAGATAGCGCCAAAATGATCGTCGTGGGTTCTAAGTGGCGAAGATCGCGACAGCTTCCTAAACCATTCAAGGATTCTACACCCGAGGAGGAGTACGAACCACTCAAGCCATTGGATGTCTTTTGAATATCGCCTCAACTGAAGCTGGTATGGATGCCAGTGAGGCGAGGCAAGGGAGGAAAAGCTCATGTGTGCCTCGACTTTACCCCTGGAGAAGTGGAAGTTGTGATTTGTATCGCGAAGAGGCTGGCTGAACCTTCCACCACCATTTTTGATCACACAGCTACTCTAGTCACGACACGGGTGCTAAGCTGCGGCTGATAGCTGAGTGGCAAGATGATCAACCGAGTCGTGCGAAATCCAAACTGCTGGCTTCATCTCAAACTATAAAAGCCTCCATCGAAACCACCCCATCCTGACAACTCTTTCCCGTTATCACCAGCTTCCAATCACTATCAGTTCGCCAAGATTCTCGCAAACAAGCATACTGTCCAACTTTTGTTCTCATATTCACTCTCATTGGTCAATCGACTTTTTGGTCTTCTTTTCGCTCTCAGTAACATCTGCCCAGCAAAACCCAGGAGAAAAGTCATTCACTACGAAGCCATTCCCTACCAAACAATGTCTTACAACGCCCCTTCCAACACTTCCATCGCCACCAGCGGCGCTCCTCGCGCTGCGGTCTGGAGCTTGAAGTCCTCCAACCCTGATCTCCCTGCCGAGTCTGCCATCTTGCCCGATGATGGCAGCAACGGCACTGAGTCCGTCTTCGACGATGACAAGCGTCGTCGCGTCGAGCCTCAGAGCTTTGCTGATGGTGGCAAGTTCCGATGTAAGCCCTTCAATACCCTACAAACCCCCCATCTGTAATCTCTTGGCATCAGGCAAAGCTGACACAAGGAACTCCAGCTGTCGTTAAGATTCAGGCTTGCTTCAACAAGGGCAACGGCAGCGTCTGGATGATGGGCTCCGGTTGGCTCATCAGCCCGGACACCGTCGTCACCGCCGGTCATGTCGTCTACGACTGGGGTCACCGCCTCCAGAGCGCTACGGAAATCAAGTGCTACATTGGATACTCTGGCCGCGCGTCCATTGGCACCCCCAATGTCCAAGCCCGTTTTGGCGAGCGTATCATCACCACCGCTGAGTGGATCGAGGCTGCTGGCAACCGCAGACACGATGTTGCCTTCATCAAGGTCAACCGTCCCTTCACCGGAAACCTCCGAAACATCCCGTTCAAGGAGACTCCTTTGTTCGCCAAGAACGCCAACATTGGTGTTGTTGGATACCCTGGTGACAAATACCTCGAGGGCCAGAACGGACAGAGCGGAGAGAAGGGTGCCCAGATGTACGAGGAGTTCGCGCCTACCGAGTATGACCTCAAGAAGAGCGAGCGCCACATGATTGAGTACCAGGTCTCGACTTTCGCCGGTAAGTTGACAAAGTGTCTCTTCTGCTCCTATGGTAACATGCTCACAGATACATGAAAACAGGCCAGTCTGGTGCCCCAATCTTCCAGGTTGAGAACAACGCGCTGGTGTCCATTGGCACTCACTGCTACGGTGGTGGTGGCGACGAGAGCAACTCTGGCAACTCCATCGGCGGCCCATATGGTAACAACTACCATGCTTTCCTCGATCTCTTCAACAGCCCCCAATTCCCGCAAGCACAGCGCCAGGGTATCAAGGTTCTCACTGCCAACGGCAATGCTCGTCCCAGCAGCAACATCAGCGCCTCCAACGGCGCGCCCAGCAACGGGCAGGTCAAGAACGGCAGCGCCCCCTATTCCAACGGTTACGGCAACGGCAACACGTACAACGGTAACGGCAACGGATATTCCAATGGTGCCTCCAACGGACACAGCAACGGCTACAACGGCTTTCGCCAGGAGAACGTGTCTTCTCCCCCGCAGCCGACCCACTACAACTCGGGCACGGGTCTTCAGGAGAGTTCGGATGAGGAGGGCTTCTTCGATATCATCAGGTCGATCGCCAAGGTCGCCGGACCTGTCGTCTCGACTGTCACTCCTTTCCTTGGCCCCATTGGTGGGCCCATCGGTGCCATCGCTGGCGGCATCCTTTCGACTGTCGGAGGTGCCGAAAGCGCCCTCGAGGACGGCAACGCGACTGCCGCGGTCGAGACCGCGATCAACTCGGGCGCCACTGAGCGCGCGGTGCTCGCCGAGGCGTCGCTTCAGGCCCTACTGAAGCTCGAGGATACCCCCGAGACCGCTGAGATTCTCCACACCATCAACTCGAAGTACAACGCCTTCAGACCCAAGTTGGATGCCATCGCCAAGGTTGCTCAGCCCCAGCTCACTGAGGCCGGGCTTCACCTGGCTCATCGCCAGATGGCCAAGATCCAGGAACGAGGAGCCTCTGGATTCCAGGAATCTGATATCGAGCTTCCTCGCGAGCAGCTCAGGGGGCTCCAGTACAACCAGCAGGGTTCGCAAGGAGCCTTTGTTCAGGGCCTTCTGGCACCCACTCGTCCGGTCTCGGGCGAAGAGGGCTTCTTTGACTCCCTCGGCTCCGTCTTGAGCAAGGGCATCAGCTTCGCCAAGCCCTTCATTGCGAGTGCCGCGCAGGGAGCACTCTCCGGCGTCATCGGCCGTCTCGGTGGTGGCGCAGAGTCCTCCTTCGACACCCCCGCCGTCGGCTCTCACGAGTATGCCACACTCCTCGCGTTCAAGCGTGCTGCTGCCGCAGAAGCCGCTCTGCAGACCCTCATGGCTCTGCCCAAGGAGAAGCTCGACCGCCTTCGCGTCAGCGAACCCCAAAACGGCGAGGAGGGTTTCTTTGACGTCATCAAGGCTGGTGTCCAGAAGATTGCCCCCTCCGTGCTGGACATCGCCAAGACTGCCATGCGCAAGGTCGTCCCCGTCATCGTCGACGCTGCTTCCCAGAAGATCAAGAGCGCCGTCGGACAGGAGAGCGCCGACTCGGCTCCCCGCAACAACATCACCAGCACTACCAGTGTCATTAGGACCAAGAGGTCCGTCGCAGACTTGCTTACCGCGTCGGGTCAGTCCTACAAGGGAGCGAAGGTGAGCAACAGCCCTGATGATTCCGACCACGTGAACGCCACCCTGGAGGAGCTCCTCAAGTCCCGTGAGAGTACATGGGTGCCTTCGCTCCACAAGCGCAAGTCCTGGGACTCGAACGACGACGGCCTCTGCATGATGGACGACGAGGATCTTTGATTTGATGCGTGGATAACAATGTGCTAATTCGCTACGACTAACGACAGGTCATTCCCACGTACTGATGATGGATGAGTTGGTCACCCTTTACCGACTGTGGCAGAGGTTCTGGTTGATGATGTCAATGGCGGAGGAGCGTGGGATTCTTGCCATCGATGGCTTTTCGATTCGACTTCGCGAGTTTGGAACATCCACAGTCACACGAGGCTGTATTGTTCCACTCAGCTTGATTGGCTTGGATAATTTTGTGCTTGTACTTGTATCCGGTTTTCTATCGTTTGCAGGATTGTGTGGTGTTTGGCCTCGGACTTTGGCTACGCATATCGTACTCAGAGCCTGTGGTTTTTCCATCTCTCAATCCAATAAAATCACTGCCCTTCTAAAATCACATGACCAACACCGTATTGTGTATTATTTCTCCTAAGACGTTTCTGCGGAGCATGGGATATCGTTCTCTACAGGATTCTGCATGTCTTCTCGGTTTCTAACATTGTTGAGGGAGCTGTGATTCGGCCACCTTCTACAAGTACTACTTCCTCGAATCGGTTACCGAAGTACTCGATGCGCTTCCATGTCTTCAAATCGCCCTTGTTCGCGTCGATCTCCCAGACTCGTGTCCTTCTGTAGTAACGATTTTCATCATAGGAACAATAACCCCCGAACCCGCTACCTCCATTGTAACAGAGCCACGGGCCATGCTTGACCGATTGATCGTCACGTTCTACCAAATGACCTCGCTGCAACTCCGGCAATAAAGCGCAGAAGTCGTTGACATGATCGTGCCCACAGCCCACCGCAGACACCTCTTCTTGCACCAGAGCATCGTAAAGATGCGTGTTGATGCTGGGGCCTTCGGTTGGTTCTCTCCGCTTGCCACCGCTTATCGACAAATCGTCTCCTGCGTATTCGGGGAAGGGTATGTGCATGAAAGCCAAAGAAAGAAAGGGAGAGCTAGCGTCTCTCTTTGCAATGCGGGTCTTTTTTAGATGCCGTGAAGTGGAGGTGAACCAGTCGATTTGATTCTGCTGGATTGGTTCGTAGTCGGGATTCTTGCCATCACTCGTGATTTGCCCATGAGAGTCGAAAAAGAACATTGTTGCTAATGGGACCTGCTTTTCGTCGCTGGAAAAGAGTTGAAGATAGTAGTTGCCCACACCATCTACTGACTCGGGCCCAACCTGTGCTAGACAAAATGGGAGATCTTGCAGTATTGCCATTTGCTTTCCGCCTACGTCAACAAGTGTCAGCACAGAAAATCGAACTGAAAAAGTGCTTCGAGACATACGCGACAGCGCGTAGGTGCCCTCATCGTCATGATTTCCAAAAACCACCGCGAAAGGAATCGATCGACTGATCAAAGGTGACACAACCTTGAACAAAGGGGATTGTGTGTCTGGTATATCATGATGTACTTGGTCCCCGCTGAGAATCACCAAGTCGGGTTTCTCGACGTCCAAAATTTCCCCCATGAACTTAATCGTGTTCGGATCAGCTTCAATACTAGGTAAAGGTTGACCATTTGCGTCCATGGCATCGTTGCAAACTCCAGCACCCGTGACCATGTGCGTGTCGGAAATCTGGACGATCTTGAATTTTCCGTCTTTGTTGACACGTAAAGGCGCATTCGGGTCGTCAGGTCTGGGTATTGGTGGACCAAATCGCGCTGAAAGCCTCGGTGCGGGCACGTCCGGTTGATCCTCAAGTTGGAGGGGTGCGGGTAATAGTGTCCAGCCTGGTCGTGGGTCGACAGCATCCGTTCCGAAGAGAACGTCAATACCTGTCAATAATCTCAAATAGTTGTCAGTGTAGTGACTTCTCAGGATCCAAATGCCGCAGGATCGTTGCTCCCAGCCGTCCTCGCCAGCACCGGGGGGCTTCGTGGCGCCAACCCAGATATCCGTGATGACGCGATTGCCATTGGCAACATCGGCCTTATCCCTTTCTTCAAGGTATATCCATGCTGCCTGCTCGCCTGTGTGAAGGTAGAGATCTTTCTCGAGTCGATTCCATGTCCTCTTTTCCAGAGGACAGGCGACTGGGACGCCAGGTGAGGCACAGGATGTGACAGATAAATCTGTTATCACGGTGTTAAGTTGCTTCATTTCTGAATTGGTTGGATGACGTCAAGCTTCGACCGAACGCCTCGCCGTTGAGCTCAGGATAAACGTGCAAAAGGAACAAAAAGAATGCGGGGCAAGCGAGTGTCATCATAGTGAGGTGGTTGCCTGATTCTAGTATCATGTGACCCGACATGCGCAACTTCCCGCCCTCGAATTGGTGAATTTCTGGAGGCTGGCGGCTACTGGTATCCCATCTCTCACGGAACACCAACCAATGAGACCTAGACGACCATTGTGTAACTACAACCAATCTGACCAAAAGCTCCGGGCGATGTGTTAGGACTCCCCCAGCTCGCTCAGTCTGGTTTCGACCGGAGGCGGATCAAAATCTGATGGGCGGCGTCAGGGGGACGTATTGCCAAGCAACATCTTCAGAGGCTGGAAGTGGAAATATCCATATGCTCCAATGATCAATCGTGAGTGACAATACACCTCCCGTGGTGCTGTCCATAATCGCAAGAGTCGCGAAGCAAGGCGATCATGCTAGGGCTCTTTGTTCTTTTGTTAAATCCGCTTCTAATAACTTGAAATGTTCGCAGTCAACAGGGCATTGAGAAAACGGCCTCATGAGCCAGTCACCAGTCCACAATGTATCCTTTTTCGTGACATCAAGTCCTGAGGCGTGATGCCAACCATATTCGCAAATCCGACACACCGAAGGTCGACGGATGATCACTTGGAGCGGGTCATAGTGCGAAGAAATTGTCGCCAACGACTTTCCGCCCTGACTTGAACCAGCCACTCCGAGGGTCTTCTGGCATATCACTCGCGCAGGATAACACGTCTTGATCACACTGTTCTTGGTAGGGACCTTGCTCAACTATCAACCACACTGGAGAGGTCAAGTCGAAGGATCCCACTCCCGGTCGCTCTGTTGGTACTCTGTGTAGCTGAACAGCATGGAACGACCTGTACCACGTTCTGTAACGGCCATTGTGTTTGGCCCGCTGCTCCGGCTCCAGCGTTGATAACGACTGCCGACGCTGCCACATGAAATGGGCTGACCACCCTCCGCACCATAGCCTGCCTCTGGTGTAATACAAGTAAAGAGGGCTGTAAATTTTCGATCTCTTAGAGAAGCCTGAAGTGGTTCCAAGGCCCGATTGTTGTCCTGGCGGTATGTTCTTCATAGAAGTGCAGAACTTTTCCACTTCAGGTGTGTAAAAGGATTCTCCTCGTAATCTTCAACAGAACGATGCGGACAACATCGCGCCAAAATGGATCCCTTGTCGATCACAACCAGCATTCTCACGATACTTCAACTGACTGGCAAAGGCTCAGGGCTAGCTTTAGGCGCGCTCAAGTCATTATGGGAAGCACCAGAAATATTCAAGCAGCTCATTACCGATGCCGAGATATTACGAGGTGAGTTGAGCTTACCCTGTAGCTTGGTACGTAACAGTTCAGAGGCGCTAATCTAGCCATAGGTTTACTTCTGGATACAGAGGCCTGTCTCCGTAGCCGGCACAGAGATAGTCATGAAGATCCAATACCACCATCCATTGTTCATGTCCTCAAAGCCATCAAAGAGCGCGTGACAGAGTTTGAATTGCTAGTTCAGTGGGTGGTCACAAGTAATCGCGTCGCTATCTCAGCCAGAACTAATGGTCTTTTTGAATGCATCAGCACCCGACTTTCGTGTCGGCAAACCGAGGATGGAAATGTTGTTACCAAAGTCAAGCGAGCAAGGATACTGCGATCGGAAGCCGATATCCAACGTATCAAGATGAACATTCGAGATTCGTGCAATATTTTACGGACTCAACTCGATTTACTTCAACTAGACAACAAGTAAGTGAGCCATTGATCCAACGATCTTCGAAAGCCAAGCTGGCATGCTTACCCCGCAACAGAGAGCTCCTCACAACAACAGTCCTTCAAATCCAGAGTGTAACAGTCGCAAGCCATAATGCCATTTGTGCCCTGCAAGAGCAACAGCATAAAACCCAAAAAGACATGCAGATCGGCTTTCAGAGTTTGAACGCTATGCAACATAACCTTCTTCGTTCCATGCAGCCTCTGATTGAGCAGGCCCAGAGCCTGAGTCCAGGACAAATATCGACGAGCGAGCCCGATTTACAAGTGGCCAACAGCGGGGTATCAGCCAATAGTCCAGCTGTTCTCATCTGTGTGAGTGTAAACTCGCATCGATGTCCGCGAGGGTGCCGATGCCGATGTCACACCCGGGCAGCGGTCCGTACACCCCCGTGGCTGAGAAACGTCGTCGGCCAGCTCCACTGGAGTTTCGACTCGTCAATATCAATGCGACCTTGCAACTATGCACCATGTAGGAAGAGCCTGAGTAAACACAACATCACCTGCTACTTCCCACCCTGGCTGGTTTCGAGAGCGATAATTGCTTCCGTTAACCTGGAGAACGTCTTCGATGCTGGGGCAAAGGTTTCAGTCAACGTGCCGCTGATCGTCCCGGAAGAGGACCATATTGTCTGGCCGCTCGTGATGGCCGGAAATCTCGGGCAGTTGCGGGAGTTACTATCGAAAGACCGGAATCTGATGTATGTCAGGAATCAATGGGGCCAATCCATTATGCACGTAAGACTACTCAAACTGCATTCCGACGTACCTTGTGGGTTACCTTAGTGCGGAATCGTGCTGATTTACTATCTCGAATGCCAGGTCGCTGCTAAGATTCATCAGCCAGCCGTCTTCAACTTCCTCAGGAACGAAGGCATGGACGAGAATCTCGCAGATGAAAACCAAAAGTCCGCAGCCATCACTGTCCTTACTCGCAGAGGAAGCCAAGAATACAACCTCCCAGTTGATACAGAGGATCTTGCCGATAGGCTAGGCTGGACCAATCTTCACAAAGTCGCCGCTTTGGGAGCGCGACATGGTCAAGAAATAACGGAAGCCCTTCTACGAGAATCCGAGTACTCAGATATCAACACGAAGGACATCCTCGGCCGGACTCCGCTCCACTGGCTAGCTGAGAACGGCAAATCGGACGCTATCCGGCTCATTACTCAGGACCCATGGAGCGCCGATGTCCAAGCCAGAGACCTTTGTGGGTTCACGGCGCTGCACTGTGCATGCTGGGCGGACGATTTTGATAGCATCGTTGCACTGCTCGACGTAGGGATAGACGTCAACGCCCTTGATAAGCACATGCGAACACCCATGATGCACATGAGTAGTCCGGAGATACTGAAGTACTTGTTGCGCAAGGGGGCTGATGTGCACATCAGCGATGATGAAGCGGCGAATATCATGCATCATGCTTGTGTGTCCGATCAGGAAGACCTCGTTGAGATTCTACTGAGAGAATACAGTCACTTCTTACTTACCAGGAATCAAACAGGCGACACGCCGCTTGGGCAAGCCATCGCAAACAACAGCCTTGCAGTATTGAAGGTGATGGCTCCTTACCTTCAGGGCTTCCCGGTGAGTCTTCCGCTCTACTATTTGAGATAAGGTAGTCCGTATGCGGTACTATCAGGGGTAACTCAAGTCATTTCGTGGGAACCCGGTGATAACCGCGATTCTATCAAATTATCTCTTTGCCAGGAATTGCAGTCTCCGGTGCCTAATGAAAGTTTGATGCAGCCCGAAAGACTGAGCCTCTTGAACAACAATAAGAGGAGCTTGCTCCACCTGACAGCTTTACATGGGAGCACGGAGGCGATGGACATCCTAGCATCCGCCAATCTCTGTGGCGTGGATACAGCGATCAGAGACAAAGATGGGCACACTCCCAACGAGTGTTTCGTCAGATGCCGCGACAACCACTGCGCCGTTACCCGTAAGCCATTCGAATCAGAGAAGCTTGCATGGGTCTCATTGATGAACTCTGCACGAGGGCAGGAGTTGCCGTTTCAGGGTCTGACGGGACAAGACGCCGACGATGAATCGACGATAGTTGCATCTGAAGATGAGTGGGGCCATAGGAAAATATCTACGGCCAGCTATGTGTTTACTGATCCGAGTGGCGGTGAGGTGTCATCTGACGAAGAGTTCGTAGATGCGGAGGACGAGGTCCGGGAGTAAGCAGAAGGCTAAGATGAGACTTGTCACTCGGAGCCGACGAGTTGCGTTTAGAATGTCGATCTTCGGGACGATACCCAGGCTTGGATAACAACTGGAAACCAGATCACCAAGAAATCGGAGATGTGGAATCGAGGGAAATGCTCTATCAATTCGATAGAGGTCTCTTTCGGTCATCTCGGCAGTGAGTAGCTGGGATCAGCAATACCCACCAGTACGCTCGGAGTCTCATGAGTCCCTTGCAGCCCTGCCAGTGACCCTGGCCTCGTTCATTGTCGAGTCATTAGCGCTCTCCAAAATCGCGATCGGCACTGCAGCTCGATCGCATTGATCGTAGTATGATTTTTAGAACACGGATTATTTCAAAATTTCTATAGATTCTCTCTCGCGAACACCAGCTCGAATAGCAGATTCTGAAATCCACTAACGATGAACTCTTCCCGGCTTCTGGAGATTGTTCATCGGCACAAGATCCGCCTCGTCGCTATCACTATAGGATACCGTAAACGTCTTCTGGAACTTGATCTGCCGATCATGCGCATCGTGAACGGAATTAGACCGGTCAACGGTGACTACACCAACAGTCCGAGCCTGGCTGCGCTGAGCGGCATTCTTGGACCTGACGTCGCTCCCATACTGCTGGTAATATTGACGTCCCTTGCTACGAAGCGTCGAGCCGGACATGGCCGGGAAGATCTTGACCAAGATCATGCGGATGGACGGCAAGCACGCACACATGATGCCTACGCAGATCTCAATCGTGCTCCACACGCTAACGTCGATAAAGTCCATGGTAGCGTTGGATCCCTTTGCAAAGTCGACCAGGGACTGCAATCGGATGATGCTCACGACGGTGACACTGATGCGACGTTAGTTTTTGTTTTTTCTCGCACGGAAGAAACAATCCAAGACCCAGCAACCCCAGGTCTTGGTAGTGTGCGCGAGTCAAGAAACTTACAATGTGCCCACGATGAACATTAACGCGACTCCGACCTTCTTCTTCCAGTGCAGTCGCAAAGCTCGCAACTGCCAGAGGGGAATTGCGAGCATCCATAGATCCAGCGCGATGCTGATGGCGGCGTTGGACCAACTGATGGCGTTTGCGTTTGCGCAACTGCCCTCGTGCATGCGATCCCACTTGACCCAGAAATAGTGAATCGGCTTGCACTGAAAAACTGCCGTGATGACGAACGCGAACCCCCAGACAATGATGAAGATTGTCGTCGCCCAGAGAACGCGCTGGACCTCTCGCGCGGGGAAGATGCGCATGTAGAAGAAGATAATGGCGAGCTTGACCAGCGTCACCTGCAAGAAGTACAGCCAGGCCATGATATAGAAGTAAAAGAGGACGTTGGTGATTTGCTCAGGCGTCAGTGTCCAAATGTCTCTTCCCAGACCGTTCGCAGTGGTTCCATGAACAGTGATGACGGCGCTCGGCATGGCTGCGATCAACGTCGCCATTACGAACCAGTCATCCCAGCCGACGTCGAGTCCCGCGAGAAAGATCTTGTATCCGAACCGGCTGAGAACGCAGACCGCTGCCAGGATGGCCATGACGTTGGAAAGGACGACATATTCGCCGGATCGATTGCGCACGGGAGCGCCGCAGTTTGTCAAGCTCGCATTCTTCGTGGCTGTAGTGAATTCGAGTAAGCCTTCATGACATTCATCAACGGAAGAAAGGGACAATCAGGGACTTACCGAGAGCTTCTGGTATCGTGCAACTTGCCGAGACACACAGCGTGACGTTTAGTTGGAATTGCTGGTTCGTGCAAATACAAGTCTGGTTTGTGGGAGCACAGTAGCCGCCACCAAAAGCGCTAGCTATGCATTTTGTCTGTGGGAAGATGCCCAGCCGGTTAGCCACTTTTCTCCAACGGTTTTCCCAACGGCGCCCCGAAATGTCAAAATGTTGCAAGGGAGAGAGGAATAAACTCACAGCGCATGCCGGATAAGTGAGTTTGGTGGCAGAAATCGTCGTCTCCTGCGCCTGTACGGCGACGAGGATGCCAAGGAGCAACGCCAACACGAGGCGGAAGAAGGATGCCATTGTTGTTCACGGGCGGGCAAGGGCAGCAGCGGTTCCGTCTTGGAGGATTCCCAGAGATCCGGAAGATCTTCTCTTCATAAATGAAATCGGACGGGCTTCTTGCATAGATTACATTCCTGGTCCTCCATGTGGCAGACCGGCCACCTCCCAGGTTTGGTTCATCGCCAAGTCGCCAACTCTTGTCGAGGAATTCCCGAGGGCGCGCCATAACTGACCACTAGTCCCTTAGTCTACCACTTTACCCGACTCTCCCTTCGCTTCGAGGGGACGATGATACGCTGTTCCTTTGGTCCAACACTTTCTGCGACACGAACCGATGCAGCTACTTCGGAGCTCTTGTCTACGAAGTCCTCCTTCGAGACTAGGGTACGTTAGGGAAAGCTGATACTGCCCCCCTCTTTAGCTGGAACTTTTCCGAACTAGCCGTCCGGTTTTCTGGTTGGTAGGTTCTTGGCTTCCCCCAAACGGGAACCAACCCCGTCGTTCGCGCCCCCGGCCAAGCAGCCCCTGCAGGAAAAAAAGGTGCAGCAATGCATCGAAATCACCGGCGGCACAGCAGCGGCTGACGTCTGGGTCTCGGAAATTAGTCCCGTTACTAGATCGCGGGTGAAGGAATCGTTGGAGAATATTCTTTCAGTGGCGCATTTTTTGACTCGGTAATAGATCTGGTAGCGGTGGCTTTTTTTTTTCCACACCTCTTGCGGTGGCTTCTATGGTAATTGTGATAAGAAGCGCTCGAAGCCGCCGTCTTGGAGCTAGAATGCAGGAGAAGCTCGTGTTGTCGTTTTAGTCTCTGTTTAATTCAACCTTAATCATTGGGACTTCATTTAGATCTGTGGGCTCCAAGCTGGGGGAGACCAAGAACTAGTCGGCCCCCACGAACAGATTGACACTGGGCTTGTCATTGTCGGGGCCGCTTGGTGTCTCATCCGTTCTCTGTCCCTCACCCCGGTCGACTCCGGCCCCACGGTTGCGCAGAAAGAATGCGGGTGCTCGTCGGATGTCACACGCCTTAATAGGAAGTTCCATTATTCTTATGAAGGGGACTCCGAAAAAGCCCTGTCTCGGCCGACATGGTTTCTTCCCGTCCGCGTACTCCAGACTGTCAGTCGGACCGGTTTGGGGCATTGCAGCCGTGAGTCTATCGATCTGGAGATTACCAACACAGTTCCAACGCAGTTGCCACATACGACTCTGGATAACGCAGTTGCAATGCTGCCATTACAATCCGTATCGAGTTCGAAAGGAGGCGGAGTTTACATCCATCTCGAAAAGCCGAGGCCCTCGTGCTTCCAGGGGTAGAGATGTTGGCATCCCGCATGATGGATGCGAGGGATATATGAGTTCCAGAACCAGTCACACTTTTCGTGGCTTGCACCTAATCTGTCACCCACCCCTCACTCTCTCTCCCTCCACCTCCTCTCCCATCTCTAGGCCTTTTGACTGCTTGCCCAACTCAAGTCATCAACATGAGGCTCTCTTATCTGGCCGTAGCCACCGCCTTGGCTACCATCACAACAGCTGCAGCAACCCCCAAGCAGCAATGTCACTGCCTGCCCGGTGACTCTTGTTGGCCCTCAGTCTCCGCCTGGAACTTGCTGAACGCAACCGTTGGTGGGCGTCTGGTCGCCACCAAGCCCATTGGATCGCCCTGCCATGATCCTACATACGATGCCGCGGCTTGTGCTGCTCTGCAGTCATCCTGGACCAACCCCTTGACACAGTAAGTCCCGTCTATTCCTCGGTTTACCCCCTCAACCAACCTGTTCCAGACGGAGTGTGTTGCTGACATGATTGTTTTAGCATTCCCTCCTCGTCTTCTGTTATGCAATCTTACTTTGCCAACCAGTCCTGCGACCCTTTTACTGACAGAGCTGTCCCCTGCACCCTCGGCAACTATGTTAGCTACGCTGTCGATGTACGCTGCACCGCAGACGTCAGCCTTGCTCTCACGTTTGCCAAATTCAACAACCTCCGAGTCGTCGTCCGCAACACCGGTCATGAGTGAGTAGCCTGATCTCGACTACAAGCCCCGCTCCACAGTAGCTGACAACTTCCTCTCTTCAGCTTCCTTGGACGTTCTACCGGTGCCGGGGCCCTTGCGATCTGGACGAACCACTTGAAGACCATTGACTTCTCAACATGGTCTGACAAGTACTACACCGGCCCGGCCGTGAATGTCGGTGCCGGTGTCCTCGGTTACGAGATCCTTGAGGCTGCCCATGCAAAGGGTCTTGCTGTCGTCTCTGGTGAATGCGCCACAGTTGGCCTTGCTGGCGGTTTCACTCAGGGAGGTGGCCACTCTGCCTTGTCAACTCAATTCGGTCTCGGAGCCGATCAGACCCTCGCCTTCCAAGTAGTTACCGCCGACGGTAAGACTGTCGTCGCCTCTGCGACACAGAACACCGACTTGTACTGGGCCCTCAGCGGTGGCGGCGGCGGCACTTTCGGCGTCGTCACTGGCCTGACCGTCCGTGCCTACCCGGCCCAAACCGTCGGCGGTGCTGCCTTCCAGCTTCTCGCCGCGACGACCACGCCCGAGAAGTTCAACGCCGCTGTCTCCAAGTTCCACGAGCTGCTGCCCGCCATGACAGACCAGGGCGCTTTTGCTGTCTTCCTCCACAATGCCCAGTTCCTCGTCCTTCGTCCCTTGACTGTCTGGAACTCGACTGCTGCCTACGTTCGCGACGTCGTCCTTGCGCCCTTCACCAAGGCCCTTCAGGAGGAACTTGGTATCACTCTGGCCGTTGCTTACAGCGAGCTGTCTTACCGCGACCACTACGACCGCTACATGGGTCCTCTTCCCCAAGGCAACCTTGAGGTGACGCGCTACCAGTTCGGTGGTCGTCTTATCCCCCGCGAAGCGATCGAGAACAACAACGCAGAATACCAAAAGGTCGTCCAGAACCTGACCGCCAACGGCGTCCTCCTCGCCGGTAGCGTCGGACACTACAACAAGCCCGCCGGTGCGCCCGAGAACTCGGTCCACCCGGCGTGGCGCAAGGCCGTCATGCAGCTCCAGCTCATTACCAACTGGGACAATGCTGCGCCGTGGGCCGATATGGAGGCTTCGCAGAAACGCATGACGGAGGAGTTCATGCCTTGGATTACGGCTGTTACTCCGGGTAGCGCTTCGTACATGAACGAGGCTGACTTCAGGCAGCCGGATTGGCAGAATGCCTTCTTTGGTACCAACTACGCCAAGTTGCTCACGATTAAGAAGAAGTATGATCCTGAATCGCTCTTCTACGTCCTTAAGGGCGTCGGTAGCGAGGCGTGGACTGTTGCAGCCAACGGACAGATGTGCCGGGCTTGAGTAGTATCGCTATAGTTGACATAATCATATTGATACCTACCTGCTACATGGAACTTTTCAATGTGAGGTATCTTGCAATGCGAGCCACGTTAAGTTATGGAAGAGTTCGAGGTGGTTTCGCGTCCGGTGACTCTGAACTAGATCCACGCACTGGTGTTGGTATTTATGTAATACCTCCAGGCTATGACAACAATGTGTCTAGCGAATCGACGGACATGGACGTAGGCTATCTCTAGGGTTGAGGATGTTCTCTCCAGTCATTGCACAAATTGCGGTAGCGAGTCTGACCGAATGCCCCCTCCTTTGCGTCACAAAGAAGATCCAATCAGTGCTAGTGTGTGGCAGGATACCCGCTCACGTGCATCACCCTACAGAGCCAGTTTCTGCACCCTTACTAATGTTGTCTAGTTTGCTGAGGTTTCTCACATGATTGCATCAACAAGAACCACGTTCGCTAGTTCGAGGACGAGATTCGCAATATCATAGCTGATCTGGGCCGCGTTTACTCAACGGTCCAGTCACACAAGCACTCTGTCACTCTCAGATCACCACGGGGTCCACCGAAATTACAGAACCATGTCTTTGACAGATGAAATCTACCCTACGCTGAGTCGCGAAACAAAATCAACCAGGCTCCTGCAATTTCAGCCCCAGCAGGAAGACGAACCCTTGCAATGCACGCTGACAACACACTCGCTTAACGACGCTCCTCCGTTTATCGCTCTCTCATACGTTTGGGGAGCGCCTGAACCAACACACGACATAACCATCAACGAAGTTACATTCCGGGTGCGAGAGAATCTATGGCACGCCCTCCAACAACTGGAAAATATCGCCAACAACGACGAAAACTGCATCTCACAGCAGAAGAAGTCCGGCACGGTATTACCAAAATACTTCTGGGTTGACGCGATTTGCATCAACCAAAATGACAACTCGGAGCGCGGTCATCAAGTCGGCTTGATGAAGGGCATTTTTTCCATGGCACACTTTGTGATTTCGTGGATAGGACAGGAAGAAGGCGAAATCGCCGCCATGCTTGAATATCTCAAGGGCCTCAAGCACACTGCCCGAAGGGAGAGGAACCACTACCTTCGCTCACAGAAGCGGAAGTTCTCTTTTAAAGACGCAAAGTGGTTTGTGTCACGACCGTACTGGTCCCGGATCTGGATTGTGCAAGAGTTTACTTTGGCTAGAGAGTTATGGGTATTATGCGGATCTGTCGCCATATCATGGACTTCCCTGCAACAGTTTCGACCATTTGGCATATCTGACCAGACAAATCTTGGGTTCAAGCATCTCTCAAAGTCGGAAAGCCATTACAGCATCGAGCCCCGTGTCAACAGCTGTAGAGAGTTATCAAAACTCCGACGGTCGTGGCAAACAGATCCGAAACGCCCTTCCTTCACAGACAAAGACCCCGGCTTTGGAGCAAGGCCCAAATTGACCCGCCTTCTCGCCTTTTCGAAAGACTATCATTGTACGGATCCTCGGGACCGGGTGTATGGTCTACTGGGGCTGACAGAGGAGGACAGCATTCAAGACCGATTGCCAGCTGACTACAACATTACGCCGTTCCAACTCTATCACCGAGTGATCAACCATTTGAAGAGTCAAGGACAGTCTTTTCTCCCTCACCTGTTTCGTGACAGGCTAGCTCAGGGACTCCAAATATGCGATCACGACAGTCTCCCAACGTCTACGTTTCTCTACGAAATAGTGGCAAGCCGATGTGTGAAAAGACTCCTACACACTGGTGCAAGTATGTGGAGGGAACAATTTCTTAAGGAAGTCACGGGGTTTCTAGGGATTGCGGATGGAGATGGTGATGCTCATGCAATGTTCTCCAGGATCATCTGCGGAATGAGCTCCTTTCCTTCCAACGAAGACCCAACCACTTGGGCAGAGTTTGTTGCAGCTCTAAAGAATGCTTTGAGAATTAATGACAAAGACTTATTGAAGTTCCCGACAATTGACATTGATAGCTTTTAATGAGAGGTCATGAGCAAAACCGCGCGAGGCCTCAGTCTAGATTTTGAAGCGTGTGTTGATATTTCAGTAAGCCCGTCGAGACATCATGAGATGTTCCAGGGTGAGATTCAAAACAAGTCGAGGAAAGCACTGCGAAAGGGCTTGTGATTGATATGATTCAGAGTTGCTACCATAGTTGAAATGATGTGTTCCATCGCTCGAGAAGCATCTGGGCATCGCGTTTCAGCCATCAACCGGGCTAGTTCTTCGAGGCTGTCATCTCTCTAACATCTTACCAGATCAACGATTCTCATTCAATATGCTTGACAACGACGCGTTACCCAGTTTTCGCAGTGCTCTCCTTCATGTGCTCGCTCGTGTTCCTCGACACAGTTTTAGTCAGGTAACGTGCCTTTCATCCCTGTGGATGCAAAGAACCATAGTCAACAGCTGCCTCAAGCATAGAATTAACATGTGTAACATGGCTTACAGAAGTAATCCCCAGCCCACCATACAGCCCAACCGCCCATGAGCTCAATATTCGGAGCAGCGCCTTTCCCGGTTCACCTTCCTTATAGCAAATATATCCATCGACAATACCACAGTAAAGACCTGAAGTCAAAAGAACGGTGTCGATAGCCCCGAAGTCGCCTCTGGCATAAAATGTGTAAATCAGCAGTCCAATGACTGATGTGCGTGCCGAAGAAAGGCTGAAGGTAGCATGAGCGGTCGGGGACGAGGCGATTCTATCCGGAAGGCCGAAAGCTCTAATTGAACCAGCGGGGTTGAAGAGCGCGAGTAGTCCGCCAAAAGTGGTGGTCGTTGCGACAAATAGGGGGAAGATGTGGCGGGGACATATGGATGCCATTGCTAAAAATTGGGTAATGAGTCTGAACGCGGAGTCGGGAAGCCTTGCAGTCATAAGGCAACCCCATACAATGAGATTCATAAGTAAGGATAACAAGTCCATTCTCATCTAGAAGGTTGGAGAGGTGATAAGTCTACCTTAGGCAGCAGCGTAAGCTGACAAGTAAGCTGCTTACATATACACTTTGCGCCACAATGTTGTTGGTGCAAACATCGATTTTCAGGATGGATTCAAAAACAAGTAGACAGATACCTACAATGGCTTTTTCTAACCGTTTTGACTCATTCTGTCTTGAAAGTTGGATTTGTCGAAAGCCTTGCCTCTTTATCTATGTAAGGTAGACTTCTTGTGAGCAGTAGGACCAAAAACATGCCACTTCCAACTCTCCTCAGAAACCCACCTCTGTCATGTTTTCTGGGCATTGATTATTCTCGTAACTTTTATCTCGAGGCTTCAGAAATTTGATTAATTTCTTTCTACTTCAGGCTTTTGAGGTCCAGGGAGCTTCGCCCTGACTCTTGAAGCCCTGGTTCCTCTCTCAATGAACGCAGAGAGCCGAGAGACAGCATCTCAGCCTCGGATCTTGTAGGAGAATCTCTATCGATCTGCGGTAGCTGTAGTCACAGAAAATGCCCTGGAAAACAACAGGAGTAGAGCTAGACTAGTCACTGTGTACGGCTGTGACATTCCCTAATATCTTCCAAAACTTCTTTTCGCTAGACGAGTGGAACATGCAGGCATAGGCTTGAAACTTCCTGGTGTGAAGGTCAATTCAAATTTGTGGTATCGCCCGAAAAGTCGTGGCAATACTGGCAGCACCAGAGGTCATAGAATGAAAGACGATCGGTGCATATTGAAGATTTCTGCGGGAACCGAAAGGTGATCGGATGCACTTGAGTGACACAGAGTCACATGGCCAACTTGATAGATTATAGATAGGCTAAGTACGATGAACTAGCCTTTGTCCTGCAATTACATAGAGTACCTCAGTGGAATCCTAGTAGTTGACCGTCAAATGAAGTGATTTCTGATGTCTTAATTCGCATCTTGGGCTTCCTCGGGGAAATTGAGTATCATAAGACAAAGTGCGTCCTGCAAGGAAAAGTCAGATAAAATCACGGTGCCTTGAAAGGAGGTTCTTACTGAACTCAAAGTGTTTCCCTGACTATAAAGTCGATGCGTCAAGACAGCACTGGTGTGCTCTGGCTTCATATCCGTTTGCTGTGCCTCCTCGCGAGTTGCATCCTCATCTGTTTCGGCGGTAAAGAAATCAGCAGTGAGGCTTTCGACTTCAACCTTTCCTGGTATCAATCCAAGGCTTGAAGATTGGTTCGAAACAAAATCCCAAGTGGTAGCTTTATTGCCACTCAGAGAAAGTAATTCATGCCTCGTCCTTCCTGGATGCTTCGATACTCCGCATTTCAGTGTGGACTGTCCCTGTCGGCCCTCCCAGATGTTTCCGTTTTCGCAGTTCTCTTGTGTCACTTGCCCAAGTCCTGTTTTGTCCTCGCGTTCGATGCTCGGACTTCTTCTCCGTCTTGATCGATATGAGTGTCTCGCAGGCAGCCGATGACTGTCTAGATCCGAATGAGAGTTGTGCTCGTCGTAGGATTCGAATTGCGAAAGTTCGGACCATCTGAAATCCCTCAATCTCCCCACTACCCTTTGCCTCAATTTCAACCTTTTCTCCCGAGTTCGATCCAGGATGTCTGTTGATGCTGCTGTGCCTCCTGTCTCCGGTGTCTTCTCAGGCTCCTTCGGCTCTGTCCGTCTGCAGGTGACAAGAACGCAAACTAGGCCTCTTGGACGGAACAGCTCGTTGTTCGCCTTTTGCAGAATTTCAGTCATCGCGCTGCGTTTTGTTGTATGCTTTCTATAGCTTGACGCCACGCCTGTCGCCATTGAAAGCAGCGTGGGACGCGCTATGGTGAAAGCCGTCATGTTAGCGAAGCCGTTGATATCCATGGCATGGTCTCCTGGTGGCCCTAATTGCTCGTCTACTCGGTTCAGGTCATCTATACATCTCAAGAACTCCCTCTTCTCGATGCCGCAATTTTGTAAGCCCGGGGGGTAAGTTGGTGTAAATTTTGGTGACAATGTTCTGGATAATCGCTGTTTGATGATGATCGGATACGCTAGTCGGGGCCGACTGAAGGTAATCGTCGGCAGTTCAGGACCGGGGGTTAGATTGTTGTCAGGCAGTCTTGGGATGGCATCTTTTAGGACATCGAGATATTGCTGCAACTCTCTGGATCGGGGTTGATTTCGCGATTCTTGCTGCTTAATGAGGTGCCTTTCGGAGATTCTTTGAATAAGAGCAAGACTTTGATTCCGATCTCCTTCGTCTGTGTTCTTTTTTTTTTCGTATTTGCAAAGCCCGAGTGATGTAGAGCCAGTCTCTTGAGTTGACTGTGATTCGCAGCCGTCCAAGAAGCCTATGGGCTGGCCGGGAACCGGTCCAGGTAACGACTCGGTACCGTGTGCATATGTCGCCATCTTCTGAATGACTTCACTGCGTCCGAATCCAGCTCAACACCACCGATCTATGAGGCATTCGGATCGATTTCGGCTTTGCATTGCGAGTGTAAAATCGAAAAGAAACCCGGAGATTTTCAATGTCGAATGATGTCTGGGATCCTCCGGACAGGCCGGCGGACATACCTATGTCTGCAACACATCCCGACCCTGGATATGCGCGCGGCACGTTGTGGGATGACAAGTGAGACACGCTACTAGTTTGAACTTTCCAGCGGTGTTCTCCGAAAGAGAAGATTACGTGCATAACCGAGTCCGGAGGTCAAGCGCGGCGAGTGCGCAGGCGGGTGCGAATGCGACGAAGAAAAAAGGGGCCCGGGTGCACTCCCAACTCGGACTTCGGCCCTCATCAAAGGTGAAAACCGACTCCGCCTCCAACGGCTCACATAAGTTCGACCAACCCACCCGCAGATCTAAAACAAGATCGCTATGCGATAGGGTATTGTTGTTCTTACTGCATCCCTCATCCCACCGGGATCTTGAAGATCATTGAAAAGGGCACAGCATTCCTTTCAACGGACAGTGTCTAACTAAATAAGGTACAGCCATCTTTCCGAAACGCCCATTCTTCGGGTTGATACCGAAGTCCATGATCCATCTGATGGCTTCAAAAGCTCTTGAGCAACCGCCTACACCAAGGTGGCCTGTCCAAGTCATGTTCTCCAGTCTCAATTTCTCGCGACTCATCCAGATCGCGTCGGCGACCGGACATCAGATCAATCTCGCCCACCCTCCAGAAATGCGTATTATACCAGAACTTGTATCCAAACCAAATTATGGGAAACAAGGGTAACAAGATGTAAGCATCGACAAATGATCCAGCATCGAATGGTGCAAGGGTGGTCCAACCTTGTACAACAGCCAGGAAAATGTTTGCCGCCAAACCGAAGTAGGCATTCCACGGATACCATAGCGAAACGAATGGCAGTGAACTCTCCGCATGGCCCTGAGCCTTCCACGCTTGTCTGAATCGGATGTGGATGAAAGAGATGGAACCCCAGACGAGGAAAGTCGAGACACCGCTGAGGTTAACGATGTACGAGTACGCTTTGCTGGCGCCTGTGCTGATGTTCATCATGGACAGCGCGCCACACAGGTTGGTGAACACGATAGCCGGGATGGGGACACCCCGGCTATCAGTCCTACCTAAGATCTTGGGCGCCTTCTTATCCTGTCCCATGTACAGAAGGGTGCGAGATCCGATGTAGATGGACGAGTTGCAC